AAGCCCCGCATCAGGCTCTGGGCTGATGGCTCGGAGCCTGGAGCCTGTTTCCGATTCTGTGTCTCCCTCTCTCTCTGACCCTCCCCCGTTCATGCTCTGTCTCTCTCTGTCCCAAAAATAAATAAAAACGTTGAAAAAAAAATTAAAAAAAAAAAAAGAATCCTCGCCACCCCCGCCCCAGCCCTGCCTTTACCCTTGATGTTTCCACTTAGTTTAATGTTCACGGACACTTCCTAGCCCCCTTGGGTATAAATTCCCACTGGTCCATGCTGTATTTGGAATTGAGCTGAATTCTACATACAAGTCTCTTTTCCCTTATTGCAATAGTTTCCGAGTAAAATCTGTCTTTAACTATTGTCTAGCTCTTGTTTTTCTTTGGCAGATCATACAACTCAATTTGGGGTCTCTTAACCTTTCAAGAGGGAAAGTCTGAATGGTTCATCATAGCCTATAAAAGCGTTCTCTTTGGGGAGGGAGAGAGGGAATGGAGGTTGGCACGTATCATAAAACAAGCTGATGGATTTTTGGGTGAAGCAAATTCTCTCAGAAGGGATGAGACAAAATCATGATTGGTCTTTGTGTTTCAATAATTTACACTGCATGTGAACAAAATTCACTGAACATTAGTCAAATACATGGGTTAGAAGAAAGCACAGGAACTATTATTTCTGTAACAGTCCATTTACTGGGAGAAATAATCTAGTAATCTAGTTGGAGCAAATAACGTTATGTTAATAGGACGGGTCTTTGAGAGTTTCTCAGTAAATACAACAATGAGAATGTAATATACAAAGCAAAAATGTAGGGTCTCAAGAAGCTTTTCCCACTAACTCATGGAGTTGAGGTATTAAGCAGTTTTTAAAATTCATTCATGAATTTGTTTATTCAATAAACATATGCTAATGGGACTACTTGGTTCTAGGACCCAGGCTCAGAAAACAGACCCCACCCAGGGCTGCCTGATGCACTTCATTTATGTCCCTTCAAATCCCAAAGTTATGTGTTCAGTCCAGACTTCTCTGCTACCCAGTTGTGTATATACAAAACTCCGGCGCATAATCGTCTCCTGACAACTCCAAATGGACATGTCAAGCTTCATACATCCAAAACTGAACTCCCCATCTTCTTGCCCAAGCATCTTCCCCAGATCGGTAAAAGGCAACTCAATTTCTTCAGTTTGTCATCCCACACACCCCGGTGTCATTCCTGATTCCTCTTTCTTTCATACCCCATATCCAACAAAGTTCATTGGTTCCACCTTCCAGAAATGTCTAGACTCTATTGTCTTCTCACCGCCTGCACTCTGTTCTAAGCCATCACTGTCTCTCGACTGCCTTATTTGATTAGCTTCCCAACTGACACCCTTGCCTTTTAAGACTGAAGGCAGATCAAGGTAGTTTTCTGCACTCAAAATCCTCCACTGGCGTCCCATCTCACTTAAAGTAAAAGCCAAACTCCTGACCATGGCCTCCAGGGGAGACGTTATCTGTCCGGTGGCCCTTCTTCCTCATCTCTCTGTACCCCTCACTCACTCTGCTCCAGCCACACTGGCTGCCTTGCCGGCCCTAGAAATTCCCAGGCATGCTCTCACCTCAGGACCTTAGCACTTGCTGTGCCCTTTTGCAGGAGAGGACTTCTTCCACACTTCTGCCTGTTTTACTCCCTGTTCTCCTTCTCGGCTCAAACATCACCCTCTCCGTGAGGCCTTCCCTTGGGTTGCATTCTCTGGAAGCAGACACTGAGACAGAGATTGGTGTGCGGGATATTTATTAGGAATCCACATCTGTGAAGAGAGGCGGATGTAACAGGATTAGGTAGAAGTCGGCTGCAATACAGGCCTGACAAATTCTCATCCAACCCATGAGAGAGCTCTGGAGCAAGTTCTGCCTATCAGTGTGTCCCACACTGGACTGAAATAGCCAGCCCTCTATACTCCTCTCTCATTTAGTTACAGAATTCGGGCTGCCCCGTGAAGGGCATGGTCAAGCCTTGGTGGCTCTCTGCAGCTGAGGCAAACCCTGAAGGAGCTGAAAGCTAGTGAGCATCTGCAGCCCGCCTTCCTTCTACGAAGGTGGATCTATGCAACATATCTTGGAACGTTCCACGCCATCCTGTTTAAAATTGCCATACCCTCTATCACCCCATCACTGTTCAGTTTTATTTTTTTCACAGCCCTTAATATCTTCTGATATACTATGTCTTCTAGTTATTTCTGTTGTTTATCATCCGGTTCTTTCATTGGAATCTAAGTCCTAATGGTAGAGCAACCGTTGTGTCTTTGGAGCACAGCTACATTTAGAATGGTGTCTGGGTCATAGCACGCACTCAATAAACGTTTGTTGTTTGAAAAAAGTTGTTCAGTCTAGTCATCACACTGTAAAAGCCTTGCAAGAACCATGTCTTATTCATCTTGTCAGAATATGGTGCTTAGTCGGTATACAATGCATGTTTGTTGAATAAATAAATCCATGAATAAATGTTATTAACTTCATGTAAGAAAGTACTCGTATAGCACAGTCCAATAGAAATACCAGGTGAAGCACATACGTGATATAAAATCTATTAGCTGTATTAAATATAGTGACATTAACTTTTTAAATATCTAATTCAATGTATCTAAATTTTATCATTTCGACATGTAATCAACATAAAATTTATTAATGAAATCCCTTATTTTCTTTGTGTTGTTTTGTACTAAGTCTTTAAAATTCAGTGTGTATTTTGAACTCATACCATAACTCAGTTTGGACTAGTCACATTGGAAGTGCTGGATAGCCATGGGTACGGTACATCTCTGGTGCAAGTCTGCAGTTCATGGGTCAGAATAATATGGGGGGGAGTGTGGGTTGGAGAGGGGAGGTCTCCGGAGTCAATGATTTTCTGGGTCCCCATCATGACTGTAACTTAGCAGCTCTTGATGTGCTCTAGCCAAAAGCCACCAGGAACGCACCTGTACTTGATCACGTTGGGTTGGTTGCTAACTGGCAGGAGAAGGCATATCGTGGGAATTATGCGGCCTTAGTGATAGAACTTACTGTAGGATTTAGGTTTGTGTTCGGTGATTTTAGGGAGGATATAAGGAAGAAGGGCTATCCTCTGGACTGGACTGGATTTTGTCAGGAAATGGGGGTCATTCTATGATTGGAGCTTTTACTAAATCTTGTCTAGAGGAAGGAAGACTAGGCAGAGGCTAAAGCTGGAACTAACTGGTAAAGAAACAGGAGTCACTCTTGTTAGCCAGCATAGAGGGATGTTTTTTTCATTTGTGTGGTTTGGACAATTTCATGTTTTGGCTGTGTTTATATATGATTATGGAGTGGCATTGTTTGGTGTTTATGTTCCGAAGGAAGCAGCTGTCAGCGCTGGGCCAGCTCCCGGCAGCACTGACATCTGGATCACAGGACCACGCCATCTCCTGGAGTTTTCTCTTTCTAATAGCCGTGCGCCCTAAAGCAAGTGATTTAACTTCTTCGTGGTCCAGTTTTCTCAAGGCTACAAAGAGAATACAAGAGCTCCATCTCTTAAAGTTGTTATCAGCACTAAATAAGATAATCCGTGTCAGGAAATGGGGATAGTGCCTGGTATAGAGTCACCACTCAATGAGTGTCACCGACTGTCTTTCGAGGATTCTAAAAATGGCACTGTATTTTTTCACGCTTGCCACATCTTCGAAATCTTCCAAACAATGGCTTCTAAGAAGAAGCACGACGTAGTATCATTATTTCCAGAAGGCTCTGGTTTGGCGGACAGTTCCTCGTCCCCTCCAACGGCCCAATCCACTCCTGGGTGAATGCCTTTACCTTTCAACCTTTGTCACTTTCCCACTTGTTGGGAGACGGCCTCCGGGGCTCTCTCCCGGCTTCGGAGTTTTCGGCTGCGCGGCTTCCCCAGGCAATACGGGCTCGGGCGGCAGCACTCGGGAGCTTACGGCGGCGCGGCGCCCACGCGGCCCCGGGAGCCCGAGCGGAACCGGCGCGTCCCCGCCCGCCCGGCCGTCAGCTGATGGGCTTCCCGCCCGGGAGGCCGCTGCCGCCGCCGCCGTCGTGCGAACATGGCGGCCGAGATCCACTCCAGGCCGCAGAGCAGCCGCCCGGTGCTGCTGAGCAAGATCGAGGGGCACCAGGACGCCGTCACGACCGCGCTTCTCATCCCCAAGGAGGACGGCGTCATCACGGCCAGCGAGGACAGGTAGGGCCGGCGGGTCGTGCGCCCGCGGAGGCGCGACGGGGGCGGCCCGTACTCCCGCCGGCGGCAGGGTGTGGGGATCGTGGGGTCGGCGGCCTAGTCCCTCTCCGGGAGGGGGCGTCCTCGGCCCCCGGGACCTCGACGCGCCCCTCCGGTCTGGGACCTTCACTGCACCCCTCTGGCTCGGGACCACGGTCTCACCGCCCCCTCCAGCGGGGGACCTCCTCTCGCGGTCCCATAGCGCTCTTCCAACCGAGGACCCCTGTCCCAATGCGCCCCTTCAGTCAGTGACCCCCACCGCGCCATTCTAGCCCAGGATCCACGCCCATTCCAGCTCGGGACCCCGGACCCTCCGTGCCCATTCCAGCCGGCGACTCCCTCCCGCCGCGTCCCTCCATAGGGGTACCCCCTTCCCGTCGCGCCTCTCCCGTCGGTGACCCCCACCGCGCCTGTCTAGCCCGGGACCCCCGTCCCTGCCTCTCCTTTGTGGGGTTTTGCTTGCCCCTCGAAAGCGTCGCGACCTCTGGGGGATTTCTTGGCCTTCCGCAGTCAGTTTCAAACCTCTGAGCCAGGAGTATTGGAGGCAGGTGACCGCGGGTCCTGCTGCGAAGGATTCCCTTCTCTCAGCAAACCTCCAGGAGCATTCACTGTCTCCCTTCTGCTTCACAGCTGCTGGGACCCGCTGAACTCTATTTGCTACATAGTTTTGTTTTGTTTTTCTTTCCTAAAAGAGACTTATTTTTTAAAAGGTTGGGTGCTTTTATTTTTTTTTAATTTTATTTTTTTCAACGTTTATTTATTATTTTTGGGACAGAGAGAGACAGAGCATGAACGGGCGAGGGGCAGAGAGAGAGGGAGACACAGAATCGGAAACAGGCTCCAGGCTCTGAGCCATCAGCCCAGAGCCCGACGCGGGGCTCGAACTCACGGACCGTGAGATCGTGACCTGGTTGAAGTCGGACGCTTAACCGACTGCGCCACCCAGGCGCCCCTGGGTGCTTTTATTTTAAAGAAAAATGTGTTTTCCACTATTAACAGAAACCCAGTATCACCTGCCATAAAGAATTAAACTAATGACTAGAGTATGTTATCCTGTGTGCACCTGAAGTCATCTCATTCTTGTACTAAGACAACGGGCATTGAAGAATGCCCTTCACACATTTGGGAAACACTGATCTGGTGCGATTTTGTCATTTTACCCAAGAGGAAGTTGAGGCCCCAGGAAAGCCCCAGAGATACTGCTGAAGCCAGAAATGCAACCCAGGACTCTTACCTTTTTGGTCTGCCCAGGGCTGTGCGATTGGATTGGAGAGATATGGTTTGTTTTAAAACTTTTGTTTTTAAAACGCTGAAAGTTTAGGTTTGTGGCTTTACAATAGGAATTTGGAAGAAATGACGGATGTTTGCTGAGTGAAATTGTGTTTCCTTGCTACAATGAGTGCTCTTAAATGGTGATATTCCAGAAGCCAAAAGGCTTTCTGGAAATGGAAGGTACTGTTCTTTGCTTAGAGCTGACAGCTTTTTGTAGTCCTATCTTTTGAAGTAAGCAACATCTGAGGGCCTGTTCTGGGCACAGAAAACTTGAAGCCTCCTGGGTTGCCTAGTTGACCTTTGTATTTTGCTTTTCGAGTCTGGTTATTATGAGCAGGCAATAGCCTCTCCTGGCTTGTATAATGTAGCCAACCTCAGAGGAGGTGGGGAGTGATTGCAAAAGACCTGGGTGTTGGTGTGCAGAGGCAGGCAGGGAATGGGAGAGGGGGATATGAGCCACAGGGAGACGAAGGGAATGTGAAAAAAAGGCAAAGGGCACAAGAATGATATTTGCGTGATAATCAACTTAGATGCAGACAACATTTCATAAAACTTAGCTATCTTATTCAGTAAAATATCTTATCCATGACTCATGCATGTTGGGTAAATTGCTGAATATTTGAGATCACTGGCCAGGAGCAGTGCTGATAAATGTTTTATGGAAAGTGATTACTTAGCTGCTCTGGGACTGAAATGTTCTGGGGGGAGCCTTAGATCAGCTCTTTTTTTTTTTTTTTTTTTTTTTTTTTTTTTTTTTTTTTTTAACTCGGACACGGCAAGGCCTTTGCTGATGACCGGACCAGGTGAAGGTTGTTAGAGCCTTGTGTTTCTAATTTGTGTTTCAGGCCATGGAGCTTTCTTGAAGGTAGGACGTTTCTTAGCAGGTGCCTTTATGAGATTTATGAAAGCATGTGGCTATGGGTTTTTGTTGTTGTTGGATGTGGGGGTCTGTCTTTACATTGTCATAAATAGGTGTCTTACTGTTCAATCATTTATTCATTCATGCATTCGTATATTTAGAAATAATGTACCTATTGAGTGCCAGGCTTTGGGGAATACAACAGGGATCAAAAGCCACAGCACTTGCCCTCCTAACTTCTGATTCATTGATTTTTATGGCCCTTGACCCCATGAAACCAGCATATGGAGGAAACAGAATACTGACCGCCCTTATTTATCAAACAAGCATTTATTAGACATTTACTGTGTGCAGGACCTGTAGTGTAGCCAGAATCTCTGCTTCCAAAGGACTGGACAGACTGGTTGAAGAGATGCCCTGTGCTCTCGGCTTCTAGGGTGTTGGGGAGACACAGAGGAAAGAGTGTCCCTGAGGGCCAGAGTTCAAGGAAAGTCTCCTAGAGGAGATGTCACTGGATAGAGAAGTGGGCTGTGTGAAGGGAGGAGGACACACATCCCTGTTCCAGGCAGATGGAAAGAACAGGAGGCAATAAAGAACCACCGTCACTTCTAGGTGATCGGAGCAAAGTGGGGATGAGTGGCCATGGCAGGAGAGAGTACTGAGAGCCGGACGGTCCTAGTGTCCCGTTTTGGAAGGGCCTTCTTTGTATGCCACTGTTAGGAATTTGACCTTAGTTCGTAGCTAGTGAGGAACCATCAAAGACTTCAAAGCAAGAGACGTGATCAGAATTTGTACGTTGGAAATAACAATAGCTAACCTTTTAAAAGTCCCTTCTTTCTGGGTGGGAAGGGGGAGAGGGAAAGCAACCACAAGGATTGATGGAGGGAGAGGGATGGGAGGTGGGCTAGATGGGTTTGTGTTGGGCACTGGGTGTTGTATGTGAGTGATGAATCACTGAATTCTACTCCTGAAGCCATTGTTGTGCTGTATGTTACTGAACGAAAATTTAAATTAAAAAAAAAAAAAAAGTTCCTCTCTCTGTTGGTACAGAATTGAACCCATGTATTCGGCAGCATCCAGTCCTCACATCTCCCCTTGAGGTGGGTACTACAGTCACTTCCCTCATCAGGAGCTCCAAAATTCAATACATTCTAAAAGTCAAAAGTGGTTTCTGTTTGTAAACTGGGCCCGAAAACTCACTGGTGCTACCACTTGAATAGATGAGACCGTTTGTAATCTCGGTTTATCCCATGCTGTGTGAGCGTCCATTTGTTTTACTGGGGAAACAGCAGTGCGTGTCCCTTGCAGGTGCTACCCCAGGCCCTGCTGGGAGCCTCCGAGAACACATAGGGTATGCACCCTACCGCGGAGGGCCTTTGACAGTTTCGAAAACTGGTTCTCAGTGAGGGGTGACTTTGCCGGCCAGGGCACATTTGGCAATATCTGGAGACATTTCAGTTGTCACGACTGTAGGGGGGTTTTGCTGGCATCTGGTGGGTAGAGGCCAGAGATGATGCGCCACACCTTGTAATGCACGAGGCAGTACCTCGCAGAAAGAATTACCGGCTCCAGATGTCCGCGGTGCCGTGGCTGAGATACCCTGGTTTAGGCTTAATGTACTTACTTATCTGCTCTCTCTAGACAGTGGTTCTCAAACTTGAGCATGTATCAGAATCAAATGGAGGCCTTGTTAAAACACAGATAGCTGGGCCCTGCCCCAGAGATTCTGTTTCAGCAAGTCTGCACTGGGGCCCGAGAGTTTGCCTCTCTTCCACGTTCCCGGTGCTGTTTTTGCTGCTGGCCCAGGAACCCCACTTTGAGAACCCCGGTTCTGCAAGTTCCGGATCACGGTGCTTGCTTGTGTAGGCCCACTGGGAGGGAACACTGTTTATACCTTGTCTGTCCTCTTTTAACGTCAGTTTCTGGGATATATTTGCCTGGAGTCATTTGTTACATGCACGAGTTTATTTCCCATTAAAACCAAACTGTGTATATGACAAAGCTAATGCGAACAGTCCGCTCAGAGTATTAAACCGGTGTGGGATACCGAGCTTAATTCCATCATGCTGGGGTCACCCACCGGTCATGGTTTTGGCAGAAACATTCGGGATTACTGGGCCGCAAAGGGTTAACAGAAAACGGCCGTACTCTTTTGTATGCATTCATGTAGATTTTGTTACAGTGGTAATTACCCTAAACTCTTCAGTTTCCAGTTGCCTGCACTTTGGAACGGGCAGTTTTTGAGCATGCAAAACAGAAGAATGATACATGCGTGGACTTTACAAAGAAAAATTCCTCAGTGAATAAAGTATGATTGTCTCTCTAGTCGGGGAAACGGTAAAAATAAAAGCAATAACCTGAGCAGTAAGTTGAAGGGCTTGAGCTACAGCAGTCATTTTCCTGAGAGTGGAAACAGAAAATGAGACTGCTTTCAGAATAGAACTGCAATGTGGTGAGACAGCGAAAACCCATTCCCTGGACCCACTGGCCTTTTGAACTGTTTTGCATCAAAAATTTAGAGTCAGTTGGAGGATAGAATTAAAAAAAGAAAAAAACCTTTGTGATAAAACCTTAGAAATAAGTTAGGGCTGTGGTCTTCAATTTTGGGAAACAGTTTGAGGACGAGCGTGCTTATGCTATTGTTGCATCAGGGGCCTGGGGGCCAGGCGATTGATTTCCTGGAGAAGAAATTTTGCTTGGCCTAAGGCAAACAAAGGCAGAGCTCCCATGTTGTGAAATATTTTAGGATGTTGCACTTAGGCTGGTAAACGATAACAATGACAGAAAACCAACTCGTAGCATGTTTTTGGTGGCATCTTCTTTTCTTGTTATT